GACAGCAGCATTAGAAAGAACTGCCTATTGTTGTACTTGTAAATTCATGCCCTAACTTATACCTTATTGCTGAAAATGAGAAATTAACTGATAACACAACTTTGTTCAAGCTATATTTGTTGTCATTTTATAGATCATTTCTAGGAAGAAACCTGAGTACAATAATGAACACAGTATACGTGATGATGGCTCAGATCTTAAGATCTCACCTGATAAAGGCTACAGTGATTCCTAATCGAGTGAAAATGCTTCCTTATATTGGTATCATTAGAAGTAGAATGATGTCAACCTATAAATCTAAAAAGAAGATCAGAGAATATTATAGGCTGCTGAATGTGGAGGAAGGATGCTCTGCAGATGACGTCAGGGAATCTTTTCGTAAGCTTGCCAAGCAGTATCATCCTGACAGTAGCTCTAATACTGCTGATTCTGCAACATTTATAAGAATTGAAGAAGCTTATAGAAAGGTGCTTTCACATGTGATAGAACAAACAAATGCCAGACAGAATGAAGGTGATGAAGAGGAAGATGCAGAAAAATTCAAATATAAAACACCCCAACACCGGCATTATTTAAGTTTTGAAGGTGTTGGTTTTGGGACGCCAAGTCAACGAGAGAAGCAATACAGGCAATTTAGGGCAGACCGTGCTACTGAACAAGTGATGGAGTATCAAAAGCAGAAACTTCAAAGCCAGTATTTTCCTGATAGTGTAACTGTTAAAAATATAAGACAGAGCAAAGAACAAAAGATAACTCAAGCTATAGAGTGTTTAGTGGAGGACCTCATTCAAGAATCCATGGCAAAAGGAGACTTTGACAATCTCAGTGGGAAAGGAAAACCTCTGAAAAAGTTTTCTGACTGTTCTTACATTGATCCCATGACTCACAACCTGAACCGAATATTGATCGATAATGGATACCAACCAGAATGGATCCTAATGCAAAAGGAAATAAATGATACTATTGAGCAACTCAGAGAGGCAATTTTAGTGTCTAGGAAGAAACTTGGGAATCCAATGACACCAACTGAACAGAAACAATGGAACCATGTTTGTGAGCAGTTTCAAGAAAACATCAGAAAATTAAACAAGCGAATTAATGATTTTAATTTAATTGTTCCCATCCTGACCAGGCAAAAAGTCCATTTTGATGCTCAGAAAGAAATTATCAGAGCCCAGAAAATATATGAGACCCTTATAAAAACAAAAGAAGTCACAGATAGAAACTCAAATAACATTGATCAACGAGAAGAAGAGAAAACGCCTGGAATTAAGAAAGGTTTTTTAAAATGGATGAATTTATGGAAATTTATTAAAATATCATTTTGATATTTACTATGATAAATCATTCTTAGTTCCACTGATACCAACATGGAAAATGAGATTTATGCTATAATACAAGAATTTAAGAACTGTGCCATTGTGCTTTTCACAAAACTAATCACATACCCAATGACCTGTGAGTGAGAAACCTATCTGGTTTGTCCTGAGGATGTAGCAAGAAAAGAAAAGAACTAAAACTTCTACAGAAGTCCATTCCAGTGTTTAAATGTCAGTCATCCAGGGAAATGGGCTAGGATCAGTTTTCTGATTTAGGAATCATACATGTATTCTGAACGTGTTAGTGCAGTTTTGGGCCGTAATAACTAACTTAAAAGCAGTTATCGTTGCCATTTTCAAACATAGGTACTTAAACAACAACATGGAAACCGAAAAATATGTTATCAAAAGTCGCAAAACTGAAGTGTAGTGAAATTTAACCAATTAAACCTCCAAATGATGTATTTTTTTTTTTTTAACAAGTTAGCTATATTTATACTCCTGAGCTTATTAAGGCTCAAAACTGTTCCAAGACTTTTGGGATACCCTCCATATGGGTGGAAATATTAAGATCAGGAAATTAGCCTACTGAAATTAACTGCACTTTTCTTTTTATGAGGGCTTCTCTGTGGGTACTCAATGAAAAACACCAAACATCTAGGTTCTGCTTTTTCCTGTCTAACTTGATGGTTTCTTAGCTGCGGAAATCAGTGAAGCTAGTTGATTTAGTAATTCTAGAAATAAACCCCAGTGTCCACTTTGTCACCCAGGCTGGACTTCAATGGCATGATCTCAGCTCACTGCAACATCCACCTCCTGGGTTCAAGGAATTCTCCTGCCTCAGCCTCCCAAGTAGTTGAGATTAGAGGCACCCCCCTACCATGCCCAGCTAATTTTTATATTTTTTCAGTAGAGACAGGGTTTCAGCACTTTGGCCAGGCTGGTCTCAAACTCCTGACCTCAGGCGATCCACCCACCTTAGCCTCCCAAAGTGCTGGGATTATAGGCATGAGCCACTGTGCCTGGCCCAGTGTCCACTTTTTTTTTTCAAAAAAAGTATGAGTGTATTTCTCACTTTTTAGGAGGTGATAAAAATCCTTTGGGTCAGTAGCAATGTAAGATTTCACTTCTAGCTTCATCTTTTATCAGAGATTGAAATGTTAGATTTCCATAAATCTACCCTAAGCCTCCTGTGTCCTCTTGATTCAGACTCCCCAGTGGCTTTACAGCCATATGACAATTCTTTTATTTATTTATTTTTTAGAGACGGGGTTTCACCATGTTGGCCAGGCTGGTCTCGAACTCCTGACCTCAGGTGATCCACCCGCCTCGGCCTCCCAAAGTGCTGAGATTACAGGCGTGAGCCACCGCGCCCGGCCTCAGCCATACAGCAATTCTAATATACTGCCTTACGGACCCAGTTTCCTGTCTTAGGGACCCTTTAATGCACAAAAACAAGATGCCTGAATTACATGCATCTGCGTATTTGGCAAATGCTGATACTCATGAGATAGTTGTGTCTCATCCACTTTCAGAAAATCTGACTTTTTTAGGTTTGGATGATTGCTTTTGTTACACAGAATTGGCAACTAGAAGAATGTGGATTGTGGTCACAGGAGCTGGTGTGTTTCTTTCTTTAATCCAGGTACTCACCACCTGCATTTTGGAAGAGCGTGTTATTTTGTAAAACGTGAGAGTTAAAACAACAAATAAGGCCGGGCGCGGTGGCTCAAGCCTGTAATCCCAGCACTTTGGGAGGCCGAGGCGGGTGGATCACGAGGTCAAGAGATCGAGACCATCCTGGTCAACATGGTGAAACCCCGTCTCTAC